CTCTCTCTCTCTCTCTCTCTCTCTCTCTCTCTCTCTCTCTCTCTCTCATGAGCGCAGGCACGTGCACGTACACACACACACACACACGCTATATACATACTCACTCTCACACAGTTCTCAAAATAGAGTTGCAGAGTAGTTACCATAAGGAAGATAATTTCCTAATTTTACCACAAAAATCTATTTTCTGGGCAGAAGACCAACATCAGGGACTGCCAGTAGCAAGTGGTTGTAGCTATACTAGGAACTTATCCATGAGTAGGGAGAGGAGAGAGATCCAAAGAATGGGGGAAAATATATGCTGCTGACTCATTCTTGGTTTTTCAGAGAATGGATCTAGAACCAAGTTACACCAATATCTCTTCAGCCTCCATGATGGTGTACTTCTAGGTCTCAGATTAAAGAAAGATGCCCTTACCACAGCTTCCTGAAGTACACGCACGCGTGGTGTGTGTGTGTTACAGGAAGAGCTATTTATATTGAGTACTACAGATGCCTGCATGTGCTGAGACTGAGGTACAGGTCCCAAGCACATCCAGATTCTTCAAGAAAATTGTAAATCAGTGCTGAGATTTGTTTTAGCATCAAAGATGGGCTCTAAACATGGGTTCTAAAGATGTCTGCTAAGTATCTTCACCTCTGGACATTATTCTCCTCTTCAATCCAAGGCATAGCGGCTTCTTATAGTGAATAGATGTGACAGAGCTAGTGATGTCGCTTCTGAATATAAGGCTAGAGAAAGGCTGTGGCTTTTATCTTTCTTTCCCATTTCCAATTCCTTCCCTTCTTTCTTTCCTCTACTTCATGTCATATATGTATATATATCATATAGGTTCTACATATGAAAGAAATTATGAATATTTATCTTTCTGAACCTGGAGTATTTTCCTCAATATAATGATCTCCAGTTCTGTTGATTTTTCTAGAATATCTCATTTTCTGTATAATTGAACAAAATGCTGTTTTGTTTGTTTGCTTCACTTTTTTTCTGTTGATAGACATCTAGGCTGAGTACCTAAGTTGGTTATTGTAAAAGAAGTGTGGCTGAATAGGCACCTCTGAAGTATGCAAGTGGGAAAATTTCAGGACAAGTCAGTCAGAAGCAAAGTTAGTTTATTGAGAAAAGAAAGTACACTCAAAGAGAGAGATGGAATCCAGGATGGTCATTCTGAGTTATATGCACCAAAGTGCCTTGGCAGTAACTATACATATCTAGTTTTGTGGCTTTTGAAATTACATTGTTTGAACCATACAGGCTCTACGTGGGTTTGAAGATTAAGTAAAAATTTTCTGGTATGAATATTTTATCTAAAACAATTTTCTTTTGTAGGTGAGATTATGAGGTGATATGTAAATGTCAGTTTCCAGATAAAAAAGAAATATTTATAAGATAAGATAATAGACCATAAGAGTCAAGGGAATTCCTTCTATGTGTGGATGGCACAGAGGTCAAGATTGTATTTTGACTGTAAACATGATTTATTAATTGTCTTAAGAATCTCAGTTTTGGCATTTTCTCAGAAAGGGAAGCATAAACCCTTTGCAGGTCATCTTACAAGTGGTTTATTCAGCTGTGTTGAGATTTTTGGCTTCTAGCCTGTGTAAGATAGGCGAGATGACTCATGCCCAGTGAAGTCATCTTTTGTTGACTTTTTCATGTCTTTCTATCATGCCTTAGGATTTTGGATCCAATCAAGCAACAGAGATCTCATAAATCCTTGGATCAATGTCCAATGGAGAAAGCAGCTTAGTGAGTCCATTTGTCTTAACCCAGCTTTAACTTCTTTCCACCATGACTCCACACTGGCAGTGCCTATTCTGATAGATGTTCCTTGAATCCGTGAAAGGCTCCAGGAAGTTTGTGGGGAAAATTTAAGAAGGCCGCCACAGCGGCGCAAGCCCCGGAGGGGCTTCCGCCACCGTGGTGGGTCCCACATTAAAGAAGAAGTCCTATGGTTCCAGTGGCCTGGAGGCCTTGGCGGCAGCAGGCCCCAGTAACACAAGGAAGTCCTTGGTTCCAAAAAGGTTTATTGTCATGGCAGATAATAGATGGATCTAGGTATACCCCCCCAAAACTCAGGGCAGTCCCGAGTTATATAGGGAGGGAGAAAGGGGGAGGATTGGGGGAGGATCTGGGGGAGGCATGTTTAATTTGCTCTGCCCTCTGGCCTTCATTAGTATGTAAATCCCTAGGGCCTGAGGCCTATAGCCTGGCCTATGTGACTCTATGGAGATGTGACTGCTTTTCAGGATCCTGGATGATGGGAGGGACCGAACTCCTGCCGGTTCTCACGCAGAATTCCACACAGCAGAGTCTGCAGAGTCTCGGGGTTCTAGGCACCTGCTCAACCATGACCCAGGATACCCTTACGCAGTCCCACAGAAGTTCTTTTGGGAACTAGTGTTCCTTCTAGTGGCTCACACTGAGGACCTTCCCTTGTTTAGATCTAAGACAGCCATGAGCAGGGAAGCTGGGAGAAGGGGTTCCTAAACCACAGTTCAAACCTTATTCTTGTTTGTACAACTTGTCAAGGTGTAAAATCTTGGCCCCAACTCTCATGGTAAAGCCTCAATTTATAAAATAACAGATGCCTTAACTCTGTGGAAGCAGAATATCTTAACTGATGGATAGCAGTGGGGTCAATCAAGAAACCTTGAGAAGCCTCAAAGAGGAGTTAGACATGCGGTACTCAAGAAAACCACAGCAGTGTCTTAATATCCTGATGGTCCTTTGTGGTTGAACTTCCTTAGACTGAAGATAGATTGTTCCGGATAAATCAAAAGCTAAGTCTCCAGGGCATTTGTGCACTGAGAAACATCCCTCTGCTTCATTATAGTCTGATGTACATTGTGGTTTGAGATGTTCCTTCCTACCCCTGCATACTTTGTGGATTTTTGTGGAAGATATAGGAAGAAATACCCACAAAATGAGTTTCTGTTGGTATCAGGCTCCAAACCTAGTGACATCAGATCTAGGTGACCCCCACATCGTTGTCAAGGCGACTACCATACATTCCCAGAATCCACCTGGCTATCTCACCTTTACCTGGGAGAGGCTACATCACTGCCCATATAAAACAGGTAGAACCCCCTGACCTCGCTCTCTTCTTCCATCTTCTTCTTCTACTTCTTCCCCCACCCCATCTTTGCCCTATCTCCTGAATAAACCTATCATCCCCGGAATCGTTTGGTCTGGTGTGGCCTGTTCTAAGCTGTGCACGGACGACTAACAGTTCCCATCCACCATAGTTTGAATAGAGTAAAGGGTCATATTAGTTCACGAATATACCATTCACCTCATAAGTTCTCATAAGAAATTTCCTTAAGATTCACATAACAGAAACCGACTCATGGCTACCACCCTCTCTGAGACAGCTCACTCTAATTTCTCTTTGGAACACTTTGCTAAATAAACTTCTTCAGTAGTTGTCTGTGACTCTGGACTGAATTATTTCTTTGAGAAGACAGGAAGCACCCCATCCCAACCCAACATCTTTCAGAAAATACTAAGGCTTGTTCTGGTTATAGGTCTAAAGATGACGAAGCACAGGGGAAGTATGTTCTGAGGAGAATCAGCATCATGATGTACGGCAACTGTCTCTGGGGGAGCTACTGTTGTTTCCTTAGATAACGCGCTGTGAATGCCTTCAGACAAAGGTGGAGATCCATAGATGTATAGAGGTGTCTATACCACTACAATTGATGAAGCTGCTACCGCTGTGAGTAGGGGTGTGTGTGTGTGTGTGTGTGTGTGTGTGATTGAAGCTTGAGTATCAACTTTTCCAGGTGACAAGGTGTTTTGGTGCTTTCGGGAAGTCACTTTGCATTGGTAAAATGACTCATCAGAATTGAAGGGCTTGATATCCCCAGCTTGATCTGTTTATTCTCACACCACCTCCCCATCCCAATTTACAGGATCCCATTTTCCCCAACTTTAGCCTGCTATTGATATGTTTATTTTTTATTATTTTATTTATTTTAAAATTTTTATTATTTTTTATATACATTGGTGTTCTGCCTGTTTGTATGTGTGTGAGGGTGTCACATCTCCTGGAACTGGAGTTACAGACAGTTGTGAGCTGCCATGTGGGTGCTGGGATTATGTTGATGTGTTTGATCCATTTGGAGCTATGCTTGGTCTTGGAGTTTGTTATAGCATAGAAAACAAACTAAGACACCAGTAGAGTAGCTTAGTCTAAGGTCCTGATAACCATAGAAGTTAATAGTAATGATCCTAGTCCAAATCTAAAGGCCTGTGAATTAGGAGGTGTGGTGGTGACAACGGTGGTGGTGATGATGTTTAAGTGCCTGCTTCACAACTCAAGGCCTCCGAACCAGGAGTACCCAAGTCCAAAGAGTAGAAGATGGAGGTCTTAGCACCAGTCTAGCATAAGGTGTCTGGGGAACGTCCCCCAAGTTTTCAAGTTGGTGATGCTTTGATGTAGGCAATGGGAGGATATTAGGGAAAGATCAATATCAGGGACAGAGTAATCCAGTAGGCAGAACTATACTAGTCAGTAGTCAGTAGAATTGAACTTGAAAGGGTGAGAAATTATAAAATGACCACTTTTGAGGCTCTTTGAGACTTCCTTTATCAAATGCAATTAATCTCAGTCATTTTACCTCAGCCTCAGGCAGACTCTTCAGACAAAGGCAGAAAAGCAGCTGCATTCTTCACCAAAATATCACAAGAAAGGTCTCTAGGCAGAGTACTAAAATTCTTATCCTCTGAAATCTCTTTAAAATGGCCTAAGCAGCAGGGTGCTAATCTTGCTGTCTAGACAGCACCTCCTGAACATCCCCTTCAGAACCAAGGACATTTGCCTCAATCACCATGGTAGAAACTGGAGAGCTAGACAGTTTTTACCAGGCAAAATCTCCATACTGAGGTCAAGTGAGTGTAGGTGGGTCCTGACTTACCTCTGCAGATTAGTAACTTGAGCCTGGAGGATGCAGGGATTTACAGGGACCACCTTTGATGTGTTTATAAAAAGATAAAGAGAATATGTTCTGTGGGTATGTGGAGAGATATGGGGGAAGGGGATGTCTCAGCTGGCCCATGCTGAGGCATCCCTTCCCCCCACACCGGTATAGTATAGAATAGAGCTTATTCAGGGCATGAGGAGGGGGAGCCAGGAGGGTAGTAGAGGCAGAGAGATAGAGGAGAGAGAGAGAGAGAGAGAGAGAGAGAGAGAGAGAGAGAGAGAGAGAGAGAGAAGTAGAGGCCGGCCATGACCACGTGGAGAGAAGGGGAAAGGAAGGGGGAAAGGGTGAAGGGACAGGGAGAAGCAAGAGAGCAAGAGAGAGGGGAGGGGGCAAGCAGCCCCTTTTATAGTAGGCCAGGCCTACCTGGCTGTTGCC